ATTTAATTCCTTGTTTTTAACCGATGTGGTACAAGGTTAATTTTTGGTGTAAACAATTGCCCCCCAACTACTTAGTGCATAAGAATTATGGACTAAGTAGTTTCACACCAACTAGGCTATCAAACTCAAATACTTGGCCTTACAATTTAAATGACCAAAACAATCCCAATTTCTTCTCCTTTGCTGCCGTGTGGGAGGAAGGAAGGGAGTCAAACATAATTATTCCATAGTCCTTCCATCTTGACACAACCGTGCCCCCCCATGCCACTGTGACCACCACCACTTATGGTCACTCTTAAATCACACGGGCGGTATTTTTTGAAGTTATTGGGCTAGAACAACAGCATGCCCCCCTAGTTAATCCAAACTACTACTAACCATACCCCATGCCATTCACCATCACCTCCATGTCTTGTCATGAAGGGTGTGGTTCACACCTTAGCAAAATTATAAGATTTGGCATGATTAGGCCACCTTAATGGTCTTAGTAGTATGAGTAATGATTGAGGTTTACCAGTCGTGGCAAGATTCTCACATCAAAACCTACTAACTTCTTCAGAAACTTGCCACTTTCGGATTTTATATATATATATATAGCCATGATTGGCTTTTCTATATTAATTAATTTTTTTTACTTTTTTTTTATTGTACATAATAAGTAGTTACAAGCATCATTGATCTCCATACCCTTTGGCAATAACCAATGTGCCAAAGGTATACATCCATTGCCAAGTCCATGTATTAAACCAAACCAGCCAACCATACACCATTTGTCCATGGTTGTTCAAAGGAGATGATTCTTCACAAGCTGGCTTTGAATCACCACCTTCACCATTTTTTCCTTTCTGACCCTTACCATCACTTTGGACTTGGACATGCGTGCCCTTGTCAGACACTATTACTTTGGGACCCGTGGCCATAGAGTTGTCCACCTCAATAGTAGCATGACCATCCTCATTTTGTTGTGATGGCCTCACTATCTCACCAGGTACTACTGGGTATTGCCCCTTTCGTGCTTTAGCATTCTTACGTAGGAATCTCCTCCTTTGAGTCCTTGTCATCCCCCCAATAGCTGCTGGTTGACTATGCATATCATAAGTATGCCCCCCTCCTTGTGGCACATTGGGCATCTTGGAAGTCCTTCTCATGGGAAGAGGGCCATGTGCCACCCATTGCCTTCTTTGCCCCCATGTCGGTTGAACGACCCCCTCTACTTGTCTTTGATAGGATGGGTATCTCGGCCTATGGGGTGGGCCAATTCTTTGTTGGACTGGTCGATTCGGTTTCACTTCATCAAGTCTAAGATTCCTTTTGCATTGGGAACATAGCTTCTCCACCTCACTAGACACCTTAGACGCGGCCGAGTTGACCTGCTTGCCCTTTGATGACTTTCCCTGCTCAACCACTACCTTGGGGATCCCTTGTTGCGGTGTTGTATCTAACACCAGTTTGAAACGAGGAAGCTCAATCTTGGAGAAGTCTGGATTAACCATGTTAACACCAAGCACGTTGGGAAACGGGTTGGTATCCACCATCATGGCATCTTTCTTTGGCTCGGGGAGCTTGATGCGACCCTTCTCAATAGCATCCTGCAATATATTGTGAAAAACCACACATGAGTCAGTGGCATGTGACATGCTGTTATGCCACTTACAATACTTCTTTCCTTTTAATTTCTCGGGTGGTGGGATGTTATGCCCCCTGTCAACTTGATTTGACCATCCTTGTAGAGTTGGTCAAAAATCAAGTCAGCTTTGGAGATATCGAAGGAATACCTCCGTGGCTGGATAGGGGCACGATTTGGTCTACCCCCTTGTGGTTCATTGGCCATCTTAGCCAAAGGAGCACATACATATGGCTTCCCTGGAGTTAACTCAGCCAGGTCTACCTCCACCTCATTGGCCTCTTGGCCAATATGGTTAACAGGGTAGCCGATGTTGGGGAAGCATTGCCCCCTTGAGGCACTCCTCCTATTCTCCTCTTCTTGAAGAAGAGATTCATATCTCACCGCACAAGACATGAGTTGGAACAAGTCAGAGAATTCTCTATCTTGGAATTTCTTCCTTAACTCAAAACTCAGCCCCCCTTGTGCTAACTTGACAAACTCTCTCTCTGTCAAGTTGACAAAACAACGGTTACGAGCATTCTTGAAGTTTGTCAAGAAGTGCTCTACTGACTCCCCTGGCTCTTGGCGCATTCGTGCCAAATCAGCCATGGAAACCTCACGCTCAGATCTATAGAACTGAGCATGGAAGCTTTGCTCCATTTGCTGCCATGTTTGGATGGAATTGGATGGCAAATTGACATACCAGGCAAAAGCAGGTCCTGTCAATGAGTTTCCAAATACTCTTAACTTAATAAAATCTCCCACATCCCCACACTGGACAGTAAAACGTCCAATGTGCTCCACAGTAGACTGGTCCCCTGTCCCAGTGAATGTGGCAAACTCGGGCACCCTAAACCCCCTTGGGAATGGGTAGAGTCTATCCACCCACTCAGGGTATGGTTTTCGATAAACAGGTGGCATGGTGGGTCTCACTCCCATGCCAAATTGCTCGGCAAGAAGTTGAGCCACCTGATCCCTTAGAGTGTTGGGATCATGCCCCCCTGGTTGCCCGCCTTGGGGTACGAAACCCATGGGGTCCATGCCATGCCCATTGAAATGGGGTGGCATGGGTGTTGGGTATGCTCTGGGAGGAACTTGATCTCCCCCACCTAAGCCTACTCCCCCTCCCATGTGAGCAGGCACCGTATAGGGCCTTGCCATTGGTATGGGTATGGGTGGCGGTTCCACTGGAGTAGAATGTGCAACTCCCAAATTCTCACCACGTGGGGGAATTTCTCCAACTCCCACATTGGGTATCCCTTCCACTTGGGTAGTGGCAGGAATCTCGCCGCGATTCATGCGGTGAGGAGTTGGTTGGTTTGTCATCGGCGGAAAGAGGTTATCTTGCCGTGGCTGACCATTTCCGCCGCCGACGGGAGATGAACTTAAATTTCCTGAATTGCTATTGAGGTTTGAATTCCCGCCATCTAATGGCAGAGCTCTAGATTGGATTATTGGCGTGGTCAAAAATCTTCTAAACTCATCAAAATCACTTTTGTTCTTATTAACCACTTCAAATAATTGACTTAGACGTCTATCAACTCTAGAATTAAGACAGTCCATTTGAGAATTTACCTGATGAGAAGCAGCTCTAGCCTCCTCCATCATGCGGCGGTTCTCCACCATCATTTGGCGGTTCTCCTCTGTGGCTTGACGGTTCTCTGCCACCAGTTTGCGGTTCTCCTCCATCATTTGACGAAGGACCCCCACTGCTTCACCAATATCTCCACTTGGCGTCGCCGTTGGTAGGATCTCCGCCCCACCATTGTTTCCGGCCACCGCCTCTGACACTTGGCCATGTTCAATGTTGGCCACCTGCTCCTCCACAAAACCAGTCGGAGCGTCACCTTCTTGATTCCTCCGCCTCGGAGCCATCAAATCGAACACACGGGTCCCACCAGGTGTGCCAATTTGTTTTCCCCGGCGAGAAAAACTAGATGATCAGAATTGGATTTTGCACCTTTGACTTCCAAACAAATGATTGAACAACACGGTTCACACCTCTTTGAACAAAGTTCAAACAAGGGTGTTCGATGTTCTTGATGGTGTACGAGGCAAACTAAATTACATTAACTCTACTCCTATGGAGGTTCAATGAGAGCTCCGAAACTACAACTATGGCTATGACTACATTTGCAGAGGAAAAGGTAAAGATAAAAGGATAAAATTTGACAATAGGTTGTCTGGTGTGATTTTGGCGAACCCCTTCTCCGTCATCTTCACCTCCTATTTATAGCCACCAGAAGTAACTGCCTCGAGAAACTGCTCTGCTGACGTGGAGTGGCGGTTACCCTCTCAATTGCTTCGACGGTTACCGTGACGTTGGATGTGCCACCTTCTTCAGTCCTGATCCCCTCCTCTTGAGATCTCACTCCCTGCTCTTGGTATCTCCTCCATAGCTTCGCTTATCATTAGGAGAGTAAAGAGACCATGTGCCCACATGACCCCCTTGCCCCCCTTTGCCATATCATGGGGCGTGTGTTGTGACTCCCTCCCCATAACATTGGAGGCATCATCATTCTCCATACTTAGCCATATTTCACTCCATGATATTGTACCCCATGGGTTTCATATGGATCACTCCCACCACTCTATCATCCTTACGGGAGCCAGCATTGGTGACCCCCTACCCCCTGATCATACCATGGGGGTGGTATGTTGGTGGTCCCCAGATCACCTCATGGGGGTGCTCCTCGCCACCCACATCATCTTCCATACTTAACCACATTTTACATCTTCTCGTCTCACCAGGGCTATGGGGGAGTTGGTATGGTACCCACCCCCCTCGGTACCTCTTGAGGGTGGCGACATGATGGTCACCCCCCTCGGCATGTCTTGGGGGTGGTGGCATGGTCCCCACCCCCCTTACCACGTTCACGCCATGGGGTTGGCGGTATGATGCCCACCCCCCTTACCACGTCCTGGGGGTGGCTCCCATACTTAGCCAAATTTGGAGATACATGGCGCGCGTGGTAGCACGGAGTAATGGGCCCAAAAACACAATCTTCATGGCCCACTCAACTGATTTGAACTAATATGATTAAGTTGGCCTTATAAAGCCATTTAATTCCTTGTTTTTAACCGATGTGGTACAAGGTTAATTTTTGGTGTAAACAGAACCATGAACCCTCAACCCACTTGCTCGACAGGCCAATGCGCTAAACATGATTAACAACCTTATTAAGGACTAAGGAGTCGATCGTATCTGTAACTCTCTCTTGTGGTTCTCTTTCTTTTTGTTTAATCTATTTCACCATTATAAAAAAAAAGAGCCTATCGTATCTGAGCCGGTGTACAAACTCAGGTTATAACCGGTTGGATTCGAGGGGATTTGGTCAAATCGGCCAAATATTGACCAACAAAGAACCCCAGAATTTGTCCATCTGCGTGGAATGAGGAGCCGTTTCTAGGTGCTGCCTCAACGTTCTCGCTTATCGCACACTCTACTTCACCAGCAGAGGAGTCGACGAAGTGTCTTTCTCTCTCTCTCTATTCCCCACCCCTCGAATTTCAACACAATTTCTGCCCGCCGTCGCACTGCTCCTCCTACGCTCACTCCTCCTAGTTACCGCATTTCCCCCGCCCCGCCACCATGAATATCTTCAGATTCCTCGGCGACATGACTCACCTGATCAGTATTCTAATTCTGCTTCTCAAAATCTACGCCACCAAATCCTGCTCAGGTAAAGTCCTCCCCCGCCGCCGTCGCCTAGGGTTTTGCTGCTCCTTTGGCCGTTATCGAACAAATTGATGCTGAAATTATCCGGCAGCTGAGTCCAATGCTGAAAAACTGATTGTTTTTTATTTATTAGGGATTTCTATGAAGACGCAGGAGCTGTACGCTTTGGTATTTCTCGCGAGGTACTTGGATCTGTTCACGAACTTTGTCTCCGTTTACAACCTTATTATGAAGCTGGTCTTCATAGCCAGCAGTCTCGCCATTGTGTGGTGCATGCGGAGGCATCCTCTGGTCCGGCGTTCTTACGATAAGGACCTCGATACCTGCCGTCACTATTTTCTCATCGGCGGAAGCTTTGTGTTGGCCTTGCTTTGGCACGAGAAGTTCACAATTGAGGAGGTGACTACTGGCTGCTATTTTGTTAATCTTATGTCCTTGTTGATCCGGTGTGATTTTGGAATGATCATAGGTTGCCTTTTACCTCACTATAACTGGTTGAAGCATGTGATTGTGCTGTGACTTGGTCCTGCACCATTCTTTGCGAGTAGCGAAATTTGCTCTGAAATTCGACTGACAAGCTCCCAGAGATTCAACGCTGCTCTAGTTTTGTTAAGCTTTAGTACTCTCTATATATGCGGTGCAGGCCATGCTTTATAAGTATGGTTTTGATTCTGGGACGGGACCATGGGAGGGTGGAAACAAGGAAAGGGGTTATATGCTTCGACCTGGGAAGAGAAGCACAAGAAATAGACACTGCTTCTTAATCTTTAGGGCTCTTCTATATCTTCTTTATGATCTTTATGAATAAATTATCATTGGGAACTTGGAAGTACTTGATTAACTCAAGAGTTACATAGATTGAATCTAATGGTCAGTTGTCTGTGCTCACAAGCTGTTTCTGCTTCATATTCATTAATTCATATAGTCATGGTTTGCTGTAGATCTTCTGGGCCTTCTCAATATATTTGGAAGCAGTTGCAATTTTTCCTCAGTTGGTGATGCTCCAGAGGAGCGGCAATGTGGATAATTTAACAGGGCAATATGTCTTATTTCTCGGGTACGTAAATGCTCTCTTCTTAGCTCGAAGCAGTTCAATTTGTAGCTCTACTGTTTTGTAGGATAGTTATTGTTGTTGATGTTCTATAGCATATTGGCATGTTTAAGAGTTTGGTTTATCTAGAATCACTTTTTTGTTGCACCACTTTGGGTCATGCAGTACTTTATCTAGATGGTCACTATCATTTAGAGCTCTGGGCAACATTGGGTTCAAAGAGCCCCCTTGAAACTTTTGTAGGCTCAAAGCTTTTGCTTTATGCATTGTGCGTGATGAATTCTATTTGGACTTCTGAACTTTTTGGGAGATCTGCTTTTGCCTTCTTTTGATAATCCTGCCCTGTTGCCTGTTGGTGTCTTCTTGATGATGTAACGGATAACTGTTAGTACAGTGTACGATGATGGTGGAGAGCTTTTCTGAGCTGATCTAACTTATTCTCTTAGCATCATAGACTTAAGAGTTCGATCTTAATTCTCAGTTTAATTAATGTTTAACCATTGGTGTTCTTTTATCATATTCTCGTCACGTTTGAGAACTCATAATAGTTGCCGACTTGAGAAATGGGTGGATTGGTCCAGGATTTCTTGATTTGATAATCTAACTTGCACTGCTATGTGATCCTTATCTAGGATGTCCGAGTTTAGGGCTATCGATTAGAAGAAAACACAATACCAATTCACTGGTTAGGTTGTTTTGAACATTATACTGGCATAGTTAAATTGCTGGTATATTAGTTTTGCACAACGAGCAAGTTCTCTGCCACCCAGTTTCAGCTTTCAGCTCATTCCCGTCAAATGTGCGGAGATACGGGGATCTGCAATATAATAAAGTTTATGAACAAAGTTGAAATGGAAGTTATGTTTAATGTTTTGAACCTCAATGGTGAGCAATTATATGTAGCTCACCTTCTGAGTTTTGGTTGCAAAGTACCAAATCAATTAGCTTTTTTACTTGTTGGAAAATCAAACCAGTGGTGACAGCCTTTCCTTGTTATCGATTAAAATGTTTGGTGCTAGATGGTTCCTAGAGATCATTGTAGATATCCAGTTTCTAAACACAGCACTGTGATGTGCTGAAGGCATGCAACCCAACGTCGGTAAATTTTAGGAATGACCCATTCGTTTCTTTCGACTTGCAGGGCCTACCGTGGACTCTACATCTTGAACTGGATATACCGTTATGTGACTGAGAAGCATTTCGGACGTTGGATAGGTAAAACAGAAACAATCACTATCTCCCCACCGATTGTCCTTCGTATTCTTCTTCCTTTTTTAGAGAAAATGTTGCACTTTGATATAACTCTTGCCCTGGTTTTTCTTCAGCTGTTATCTCTGGTGTCGTACAAACAGCCTTATATGCAGACTTCTTCTACTACTACTTTTTGAGGTATGCAAGTCGTTTGTGTTTGTGCTGGTCCAAACACCCTGATAACCTGTTCTTTTCTCTTAAATCTCAATTGTCACTCTTCTTCTTCAGTTGGAAGAACAACGGAAAGCTTCAGCTACCAGCTTGAAAGCCGGGACATAGGTTCATCATGAGGTGCTTACTGTGGGGTGAAAGTTCTAACAAGGGTTTTATGTCGTCAGCAGCTAGAGAGTTTACAGAGAAAACAGGGGTTTGCATATCCTAAATGATTTTACTTTTTGGATTACATGAGATAAGATATTTGCTCGTCGTTTTGAAATGGTCCTCGGTGGGTTTTCTGAGTAGCAGCAGCAGCCTCCATTTACTTCCATAGATGTAAAGGCGGATGGATGGATGGATACAAGGGTAGGAGTAGGGGCTTTACCACCATTCACCGTTGACTGGTGATGTCAACTGATTTACCATTAACCCTTGTTCAAGTCATATCATACACGTTTGCTGAACCGTGACAAACATTGGTTTCATTTCTTTGTTCAAATTTGCAACTTGGATTCTTTGTTTCGTTTTCTTCCTCGTTTCTGTGTTGCTTTATCCGATGCGAAACAGAAAGCGGCCGGGAAGGGGAGAGCTGAACTCTTGCCATATTGGACAAGGACGAAACTGCTAATTGCATTTGCCAGGCTCTTGCTCTCACCTTTGGCCGCTTGTGCCGGATATATTTGGCTCTTGGTTCATAAATTCTATATTTATCTTAGAGATTCCTCTTCCGTTCTCTTGTATGAAATGGGTGGCTTGGTTTCGGAGTTTCATTTATGGGTTCATCAAGTGTGTGGATTCAGACAGGATTCAATTGGAATAGCTAGTTTGTTATTGTAGAATCAGATTGAGAGCTCAACACGTCTTGATTTAGAGGTATATCTATGGTCACATTATTTCACCGTCTACCCAATAATTAATTCTAGCTGATCATGTTGTATAGGGATCATCCAATCAAAATCAACATCTATGATTTGGAGATCCTCACATTCTAAATGCATCAAATATGCTCTAATTAGCTGATCATCTCTTGTATATAGATCATCGATAGCAATAACTACGATTCAAAGATGCTCACATACCAAATATGGAAAAAAAAAACTTAACCAATTATAGAAGCTGAAGTCTCAGGCTCTCAGCTCAGTCATACGAGGCAAACAATGGATAAATTATTTATAAGAATTATGGATAAAACCAAGTGAATTCACTTGGGGAAAAAAATTCAAACCAATTACACTCGAGTTTATCCATAAAAAAAGAAAATAAAAACAATACCTAAGAAGAGGCCGTAGGAAAAGAAGAAGAAAAAAAATCTAAAGAGGAACGGGCCCGCCGCGGAAACTGAAATTGGACTAATCCAACAGAAGAGTCCAATAGCCCAAGTGGAGAGTCATTTTAACACATCAACCCGCTTTGATCCGCCCCGCGGTGCAAATATGGTTGGTCGTATCTTACGTGTCGCAATATAATTGGTCTTATCTCGTGGCGACCTGCCCACCCTCTTTTATGTAAACTGTTGCTTGCGACCTCTTACCCACATCGTCATTTCTCGGAGCGGGTCAAATAACGAGCCGCGTCCTGCTCTACTTCTCTGCGAGCTCCATCTCCCCTCATCTCGACAGATCGCGTCTGAAAGTAAGGCTCTATCCTTACGAATTGCTGAATCTGTTTATGGCTAGGGTTTAGTGACTCGATTGCTTAACGCATTTCTCTCCACTTGCGCATTGGCAATCGAGCTAGATCGGTGCAGTTCCTGTGTATTGATTTCAAATATCCACTTGCATGTTCTGATAATTAGGGTTTCGATTTAGGCCTTACCGATCAGTCTGCTCGGTTTCATTCAATTTACTCCAATTTCATATCCCGATTTGCCGTCTTATTTCTGGATCTGTGTTCTCATCATCAATTTTGGCTGCTGTGTGAAGGTTATTGTGCCCTCTTGAGTTGTGAGAAAAATGGGAGGGGGATTCAGGGTTCTGCATCTGGTCAGACCTTTCCTTTCGTTTCTGCCCGAGGTGCAGAGCGCAGACAGGAAGATCCCATTCAGAGAGAAGGTCATCTACACTGTTATCGCGCTCTTCATCTTCCTGGTGTGCAGTCAGCTCCCGCTCTACGGCATCCACTCTACCACCGGCGCCGATCCATTCTATTGGATGCGTGTCATTCTCGCCTCCAACAGAGGTACCGTTATGGAGCTTGGAATTACCCCCATCGTTACTTCTGGATTGGTGATGCAGCTCTTGGCTGGATCCAAGATCATCGAAGTTGACAACAGCGTTCGTGAGGATCGGGCTTTGCTGTAAGTCATTACTACAATCGTGTCTTTCATCTGCTTAGCATGTGGAGTTGTTGGTGATGCGGAGCGGTTGTTAAATGCTGAGCTTTAATTCTCTGAGATTGGACAGCTTTATGCTTTTTTTCATACTCTATGCCTGTTGATGGTTTTTGCCTGTTTGGCAATCTGTTGTGCAGTGTTTGGTGTTGTTTCTTCTGACATCTTGTATTTATCATTGGCGGTGACTAGGAATGGCGCACAAAAGCTGTTGGGTATCCTGATTGCTGTTGGTGAAGCTGTTGCGTATGTGCTATCTGGGATGTACGGCAGTGTTGGTCAGTTGGGTGTTGGGAACGCGATTCTCATCATTCTTCAGTTGTGCTTCGCTGGCATCATTGTTATATGTCTGGATGAGCTGCTCCAGAAAGGATATGGTCTCGGCTCTGGGATTTCTCTCTTCATTGCCACCAACATCTGGTAGGGACGCATTCATAAGTTTCTGCTTTCGTCGTTGGTTTAATTGTGGCTGCTTGGTTTCACGGACTGTAGCAATTCATGAAAAGTATAATGCATGGAATGTGTTGGGAATGGATTTGGATATTCCATCATTTGGATGCATTTTTAGTAATGCCGGAAAACGACTCATGGAATTCAACTAGGACAACAGTTCATTTACCATTGTTGGCGACTAAGAAACTTATAACAACGACAACAGTTTATTTACCTGTCCTCGACAAATTTAGATTCCATCTCTACCACTTTTTGTCTCCTTGACATACTACACCAAATGAATTCACTTTTCATCGCATTATGGAATTTAACTCTACAATGCATGAACACATTTCATAAACCAGACTACTCATTAATTTATCTATGCTGGGTTCTGATTTTTGTTTGCTCAAATGTTAATTCAATGCAGTGAAAACATCATCTGGAAAGCATTCAGCCCCACTACCATCAACAGTGGTCGCGGTGCTGAGTTCGAGGGTGCTGTCATTGCCTTGTTCCATCTCCTCATCACTAGGACGGACAAAGTTCGGGCTCTTCGAGAAGCTTTCTACCGGCAGAATCTTCCCAATGTTACTAATTTGCTTGCCACAGTCTTGATCTTCCTCATCGTTATCTACTTCCAAGGTTTCCGTGTTGTGTTACCTGTGAGGTCTAAGAATGCTCGTGGACAGCAGGGTTCATACCCTATCAAGCTTTTCTACACCTCCAACATGCCAATCATTCTCCAATCTGCACTTGTTTCCAACCTCTACTTCATCTCTCAGCTGCTCTACAGGAAGTACAGTGGCAATTTCTTTGTCAATTTGTTGGGAAAGTGGAAGGAGTCTGAATACTCTGGTGGTCAGTTCATCCCTGTTGGTGGCCTTGCATACTATGTCACTGCCCCAGCTAGGTAAAGGAAGCAGCACATCTATTTGTCTCTTTCGTCTCCCTCCATGCCTGTTGTATCAAATTGCTAAATGTTGTGTATTTTGTGTTGCGTTCTTCCACTGATGTGTGTGTTCTGGTTTGGTGTGTCTATGAACTTCATCTATTGCAGCTTGGCAGATATGGCGGCCAACCCGTTCCATGCATTGTTTTACCTGGTATTTATGCTTGGTGCCTGCGCACTCTTCTCAAAAACCTGGATTGAGGTTTCTGGGTCTTCTGCCCGTGATGTTGCCAAGCAATTGAAGGTAGGATTTGGCAATCACCTGCGATTATTTGCTTCTACTCTCTCCAGTTTCTTTCTAATCAGTGCTCTGTAGTTTGATCTTCTGGTCGTGGTACCTGATGATGTGTGCTCTTCCATTTTGCAGGAGCAACAAATGGTTATGCCAGGACACCGTGACTCAAACCTGCAGAAGGAGCTGAACCGCTACATCCCTACAGCAGCTGCTTTTGGTGGGATCTGCATTGGTGCATTGACGGTGTTGGCTGATTTCATGGGAGCAATAGGTTCGGGAACTGGTATCCTGCTGGCAGTCACCATCATTTACCAGTACTTTGAGACCTTTGAGAAGGAGAAGGCCAGTGAACTCGGCTTCTTCGGGTTTTAAGAGCCCATGTTAGTGTTACTCCTGTAGTTTTTTCCCCCCTTCCCTGTATCCTTTTGTTACTTAATTACATGTTAGGAAGAGAAGAAGATACGAAAGTTGGTCAAAGTGACAGTTTTTTGGGTGAGAAGCTTGTTCTTTTTCATTTAACTGTTTTAGCTACATTTAGTGTAGACTTTAAAAGTCGGAAGTTTAGTGCTTCATGTTAAAACTGGTTGATAGAGTCTGTGGTTGGTAAGTTCAACTGATGACAAACTTGGGGAGATGCCTCTTTTTTTTCTTCTACTCGTTCAAAGATAAGATAATTTTACTGTTGAGGTTCCCAGTTTCACCTCTTCAAGGACAAGAACATAGGGTTGGAGACAAAAAAAAAAAAAAAAGTGAGCTTGTTGTGGGCCTGTGGAGGAGGTTGGGCTTCGTTGATTTGATTATCTGCTGGAATGGACTCCACAGAATCCGTAGTCTGAGCCGTTGGTGATCACTTGCTTCATTGGGCTCTGATTGTTCCCCAGAAAGAAGTTAGAATGAAGCCCAAAGAAGCCTTAACGGCGTCCGCAGGCAGGATGAACCATCTGTCTTGTACTCTTGTTCCATAATCCATCATCCATCCATGGTCCATGAGTGATGAGATCATAGCACCGGGAAAGTCAGCGGTAAGATATTTTAGTATACAACTGTAGTTTAAACGTAGTTCAATCGTTAGATCGTTAAATATCGCTTACCAATTTAGCTTTCAATATTGATATTTCGTGGTTGAAATAACATGTCTTTTGTTTGCCAACCTTGAACTGAATAGTTAGTTGATTATGACATGTTTAAATTCAGAGCTCGCAACTTTGAATCATCTAAAGAATATAATGAGTTTCCCAAAAATGGCTTCTTAGATTCAAATTTCTCCTTCCCTGACGCATCCACGTCAGCACAGCCCTTACCCAATCAAATTATTTCAAGAAAAAAAATTCAACCAACAAAAAAATCTATCCCTCGGTGAATGCATCCTATATTTTTCGGATTTTTTTTCCTTTTGCAATTTTAGTGTACTTTTATGTTTTTTCCTTTACATGTTTTATTTTATCTTAAATAAAATATATGTATACCTTTTAGATATAAGTTATATTCCTTACCGTATAAAAATATTATTACTACCATATATTATATATTTAAACTATATATATGTTTGTCACCGTGTTTATA